GGGCGGGCGCCGGCTCCGGCCCCGCGCTGCCGTGAGGGAGATGGTGCCGCCGTTGGGCGGTTGGTCGCTAGGGCGTCTTTGGGGCTGAAGGTCAGCGGTGCCGAGGGCGAAACTTGTCTGTCTTCGTGTGTTGGGAAACGTGCGGGATGGGGAGCGCCTTTTTGCAGGTCCCTCGGCTCGGTGCGAGTGCTGGGGGCTCCTGCGCCTCGGGGCCCAGGCGGGAGGCATCCGCCGCCGAGCGGCTCGTGGCCTTGTCTTGAGCACGGTGACAGGGTGCGGAAGACCCAGGATGAACCGTTCCTGCCTCTCGTGCTGTTTTAGCTGGGCAGAAACCCCTGCTCTAGTAACCCCGGTGTACCCTGCTCTGGTTACGTTTGGGCTTCCAGAGCTGCCGTGGAGGGGAAGGATGGATGGCGACTGCGCAACAGAAAAGTCAATAAATTCAGTTCAGTGTGTAATTACATATCTCTATGCACACGATTAGGAAAACACTGAGGTTGCAGGCTCTAATGCTGTCAGAATTATGGTTATGTTTGAAACTCTTAAGGCTTCCGTAATATGTATGTGCAAAACAGGGAGGCTATAGGAAAATATATGGAGCGGGTTGGACAGCGGCTCATGAGCAAGCAGTTCTTCAGTATCCTGTTTTTCCATATGGTTAAAAAGTCTTGCGTTAGAAATGTCATGTTATTCATATCTCACTGTGAACAGGGATTTTTTTTTTGATGCTTCTACTGTAACATTTAAAAAATATTATTATGGTTATGCCTATGTTGCTGTGAGGAAGCAGGCAGTAGTTAACTCCCTTTTCCATTTGGATGACAAAAAAAGAAGAGAGAGAGAAAGACATTCAAGTGCACACGTGTCGTTTGTGTGGCCTGGCATGTGCAGAGATCACATCTTGAGATACTTTGCTTTGCGCTGCAGCTCATGCTCCTGAACTGGAGTGAATTCAACATCACTGAATTCACATTGCAGATCTGAGTGCTCAGCATTCCTGAAAAAAACATCCTTACAAGTCATGCACCCAAACAGAATATCAAATAGCTGCGGATTTTTGGTTTGAATTAGTGGATTCCTGTACTTTCTTTTGTTGTTGTTGTTGACTGTTGCTTCTGAAGGATTGATGTGGCAGCAGAGAGAGACTGACTACCCATTGACTACAGGTAGAGAAAGACCATGGGATCCAGGTGGTGAACTACCAAGAGGAAGCTGCTTTGGTCATGAGCTCCATGTGAGCTGTGGTCCTGTATAGGATTTCCAGTATTTCCTGTATAGGATTTTCCAGACATATGAAGATTTGTGGGCTCATTTTGGGGACCAGCAGTTGAAGTGATTTGCCCAGCAGACTCCGTGTTGGAGAGAGGGCTGTAGCCCCTTTCCCATTCACTGTGTGCCCTTCAACTGTGGGAGCGGGTTGAAGGACAGGACAGTGTGTGCAGTCCCCACCTCTTTCATTACAAGTTTATAAACACCTCCAGAATAGCCATCCGAGTCAGTGGGGAGCAAGGAAAATGTGCAGATTTCATGTTTAAGTTGCATAGAATAGACAGGAAATATTATTGTGTTGTTTGTAATGTCCTTTTCTAGAAGGCTGTTGCCCAGGGGTCTCTTTTTAATTCCTAATTTTTAGTGCTTAGCCATTTTAATAGTGCTTAATAATTAAAAAATGTAATAGCTTTTGAAGTAGGAAGCCCTGTCATGAGAAGTCATGTAAGTGTCAATGCTATTAGGATCTACCGCAGAGTGTGTGCATGTGGAATAATAACTGGAGAGCGATAACCTGCTGTTTCTGTGTAGATGAGTTTGATGGAAATGAGATATTCTGGCAGGAGGTTTTTACAATTGTATCATGCACTGATCACCACGAAAGATGTGGTTCAGGTTTCTTGGGATCTCCTCCAGCTTTTGAAAGGTCAAGGAGAAGTCAAAGGCATTTCCTTTTTTATTCCTCATGCACAAAGTTTGACACTATCTTCTGGGTCTTTCCAAGTTTTTCTTTCTTCCTCTCGTATTTCCCTAATGCCCTTTTTCATTTCCAGCCTCAATCTGCTTTCTCTTCCTCCAAGGCAAATCAGCCAAATTATTATTCATTTTTGTCTTCCTTCCAGCCAACCCATCTTTTCTGCCTTATCCCAGTATTTCTGTTTGCATGCCTTCTCTAGTCTTCCCTCCAGCAGGCTGCTTTTCCCAGGTTTACTTGGGTCCTTGGGAGCAAGGGGCAGATGGTGTCTCTGCTCTCAGCCTTGCTGTGTGATGCTACAGATCTATAGCAGCTGGTAGAAGTAATTGCACTGAGTATTTTTTGCCTCATCACTGGGGTTCTGACCTGAGATAACCAGCAGATAGAAATTTTGGTGGACTTAGCTGACAAATATGAGTATCTTTGGATGGAGGTTTTCGTAGACTGATATCTTACTTATTTTTTAACGGAATCACTAAAAAACCTGTTCTTGGTATTAAGGTGACCACCCCTTGAGAAACTTGTTGTTCAGTCTTTCTTGGCTGACTTTTTGTAAACGTGTAATAATATAATTGTTTCATCCAAGCAGCTCCAGCAGGCAGTAGAGGAGGTTTCTGATCCTCTAAACAAAAACAAACATGTGGGGAGACAGTGAATTTTGTTTTAACCTAGTTTATGTTTTGACTTTCCAAGAATGACTGTCTTCTTGAGGGTCTTCTGCTTCCAGATGATGTTCACTTGGCCTGTGAAGGCATCCAGGAGTCATTCAGGGCCCAGCTAGTGTTGCCTCAGGTTTTCTTTAGCTTCTATAACTGAATCCAGAAATGCTTGTCAATGCAATGGAATATTTAAGAATACAAGGATTTAATATTTACCTTGATAACAAGGATTTAATATTTGCCTTGCTTTCTTCTACTGATGGCATCTAATATTTCACTGGTGCCTTACTATTTTGGATAGTGAATCAATAAGCTTTAAAAGGGTTTCTGTTTCACTGGTGCCTTACTATTTTGGATATAATAAGCTTTAAAAGGGTTTCTATATTGCAGGCGTAAAGCTGAAGATTGCACAGATGTTGATAGGACAATTTTACATCCCCGGCCAGTTCAGAGATGGGGGATATAATTTCAAAATAATGAAGAAAATGGTGTGTCTCCTAAAGCAAAGGAGATTGATGTGTGCAGGTCTTTCTTCCTGTTTTTTGAAATTTATACCATATGAAATTTGATGAGCAGCAAAGTTGTGAATTTGTCTACAAGAAATTGCTCTGGTAGAAGGCAGGTAAGATGTGACATGTCATCAATGTGGGGTTAATGACCTAGCAAACATTTTGAGAAAGCAAATCTTATGTGGTCAGTGCAAAAAGTACTTGCTTGATTAAATATTTTATCACTGGAGGTGGGTGGTAAGAGCTACTAAAGAAGCAGTAAGAACCTAGGATTTGCTCTTGCCATATGCTTTACTGTGAATTCTTCCAGTCCTGAGGACCTGGGGGTTGTATGTGATTGCATGGAACAAAATCTTGGCTGTTACAGTAAAGCAACTGTTCTGCTCTTACATTTGACTGCTGCTGTCAGCAGTACCCACAAAGCCCTTAATTCACAGTTCACTTTCACCTATCACTTTGACACCAAAGTCAAATTCTGTCCTCAGACATGCAGGTTTTGCATGTGAAGCTTTCAGTGTTGACTGGATGAGGTCTGCTGACAGACAGCTCCTTTTAAGTCTAGGAGATGCTGTTGCAGAACAGCAGAAGAGAAAGCTCTTAGGGCTGTTATTTGGATGGAAATTGTTATTGGATTGTTATTTGGATGTGGAATAGGTTTTCTTTGCTGGCAACTAAGAACGATATTGAGCCAAGAAGGGCCCTGATCCTGAACGTTCTGGTCAACATACTACTTGAGAAGTATTTACCTTGCGAGAACAGCTCTGCTTTATGTTTGTAGCAATGTTAGAAGACCATGTAGTATTGGAAATGGTGAATCAGAGTTTTCCATAAGAATTAATATTTGTTCTTAGTTCCTTATATTCGTGTTCCTTACTGCCAAGCTTCCACTGTCATCTCTTACAGTTTGTGGAAGTTCTCTTAAAAATGCCATTAATGAGGTATTTAGTGCTTCAAAGAGATCTTTTCTAGAATCATATTCTCATTGTAAAATGTTAGTAAACTCCATGTTCCTGTTTCCAGTCCTTTTTACTAAACAACCCTCAGGAACAGCTTCCCTCAGAGGTGATTTAGGAATGGAAAGGGGAAGAGGGGAAGGGAAGAGTAGTTACTTCATACAGTTTTTTGAAAGCATGTTCATTTCCAGAAGGAAGCTGCATACTTTGGATGTTTCTAAAGTTTTATTCTAGTATCTCAGCGGTACTGTCACACTGTCTTTGTGGAAATACTCAAAAGGTCAAGTTTATTTGTAGCTTCATGTTTCTAAGTGGATTACATCATATATTTCCAGCTCTGTGAAATGAAGAAGTTAACTCCAAAAAGTAAGGCAAATTCCTCTGGAGAGTAGGCTCTTCTGCCTGCCTAAAGAGGATGTGTGTAAAAGGATCATTTGTGCAAGGATCTTTCATAGGTAACCTTTTCCCTTAAGTATTGTTATGTACCAGGTTAATTGCGAGATGTAGCAAAGTCATTAGCTCTTTGGCTGGTAATACCTGAAAGTCCTCACTGTCACCATCCTGCGAAGGACCAAGCAGCTGTAGTGACAGCCAAGAAGATGACACATGTTTGTGACTGGCTCTAATGCTTTAGTCTTGCTCACAGCGAAGCATGTGGACACATATGCATGCACGTACACAGCATATGTATAGCAGGACATACATACTGACCGCAGCTTCTAGAAGAACTGCTAGAGGTTGAGCAATTTCCATGTGAAAGCAGTGTAAGAAAGATTGTTGAATAATGTCATAGCATGATATTTATTTTGGAAGATTTCTGGAATAGCTGTGATTATAGGTAAACATTTTTAGCCCAAGGATTTCTGGTAAAGGAATTGTATTCGACCAGGGCCCTTTTTACAGTATTTTAAATACATTCCAGCCTCCTATGCTTGTAAATATTTTAATATAATAATGTCCTTATCTCAGTGAAGAGGGATCAACTAACAGAGTTGTTGGCTGTGCTACATGTGAGTAGTCTGCTAGAAATGTAACTTCACTAAGCATCAAAACAGTTTTGTCTGCTTTGGGATTTTCCCACACTGGGAACTTGACGTTTAACCTTTTGGCCACCCAGCATGAAAACAAAATTGTGCTACTTTTATCTACATGGGAGCATATTAAATAAGCCTCAAGTCAAATATAAACGAAGGAAGTAAGGAACAGCATTGCTTTGAAAACTTTTTTATTTCATTAATTTTCACAGATTCTTATTGATGGAAGATAGATTACTTTGCAAGGAAAATTCAAAGAAACTCACTCTCTTGAAATAAATTAGTTAAAGATTAAACTGCTGTATCATAACATATCTTTGACTGCAAGCAAAAGGTACTTTTAGCCGTAAATGTTGGCTTCTCTAACTAAAATAGTCTCACCTTTGTGTCAGTTGGAAAAGGAAAACACTGATTTGACTTGGAACACTGCAAAGTTTTGTTTTATGTGATACTGTTGGAGGCTTACGCCTTATATACACTTGCACACACATACAATACGTTTTCGGGAACATCTCTAGCAAACTATTTTGTACTATTTTGTATTATTTGTAGATATTTTTAGAAGCTGAAATTGGAGTATTTTTCTGGCTTTTCATGATCAGTTCTGCCAGATTACTTCTTCAGAGCTTTTATCAGCCTGTAGGCATCAGTTTTCCTAGTTTTCAAACAGCAAATCCTATATGTGGCATTTATCTCCATGGGAAAGCTAGATCTCTTGCTACAGAGTAAAGTTTCTGAATTACTGACTTAATGTAATGTGAGACTAATACTTGGAAAGGAACATTTCTTTGGGGTTTTTTGAATAAAAAGGATAATGATGTCATGTTTTATCTTGGGCACCTTATTTCAATTGAACCTGATCCACAGCATTGCTATTTATTGATATTTTCAATGCTCGTGTGTTATGTTAGGCCATCTTACAGCAATGCAGAGTTATTGCATGGATTTTACCGTGTGACTGTACAGGTTAATTGTACCGAATTCAGCCAGATTGTATATCTGAGTGAGACTGTGAGTAAGGCAAATATGGGGCTAGGAATGGAGGCTAAACCATATGCCAGGGAAGTCTGAAGAAACTTTTGGTGAGCATACTTGGCTTTTTTTGAGTTGTCTATGCTGATAGACACAGTAAGCCAGGGATGAACCCAAAACTGGAATGAGTTCTCAACAAAAATTTTGCTTGGCAGAAAGTATATAAATCTGCTTCCCTCAGGTTTGCTGTGAGTAAAGGGAGAAAATAATTTGTAAGTTAGGAAGGGCATTATTTATCATGAAGCTATAAACATGTGCAGAAGTGGTTTAAGTGTTAAAAAGAAAAATCATTTTGACATTTGGGATGTAACTTCTTACTTGGCCAAGGATCCAAGCTGTGGAAGGGAGGATGGTATTGCTACACAGTGGGGCTGTCCCTCTGAAAGAAGATGTGTAAGGAAAGTGCACTGATCTAGTGTCAGTTCTCCGTAATAAAGATGCAGCTTTAGAATCATAGAGTGCTTGGAAGGGACCTCTAGAGATCATCTAGTCCAACCCCCCTGCACACGCAGGGTCACCCAGAGCACGTGGCACAGGGTGGCGTCCAAGCGGGTTTGGAAGATCTCCAGAGAAGGAGACTCCACAACCTCTCTGAGCAGCCTGTTCCAGTGCTCTGTCACTCTCACTGTGAAGAAATTTTTCCTTAAGTTCCTGTGGAACTTTTGGTGCTTCAGTTTGTGGCCGTTTCCTCTAGTTCTGTCGGTGGCCACCACTGAAAAGAGGCCAGCACCATCCTCCTCACTGCCTCCCTTGAGGTATGTATATACACTGATTAGATCCCCTCTCAGCCTTCTCTTCTCCAGGCTGAGCAGGCCCAGCTCTTCTTAATGCACCCCAGGATCCCATTGGCCTTCTTGACCACGAGGGCACACTGCTGCCTCATGGTCAACTTGTCGACCACCACGATGCCTTTAGACCGCCTTCAGGAAATGCAGTACTTCTAGAGAGCAGTTTTTAGGAATTAAATCTTAAAATATGTTATGTTAATGAGAGGATGTTATCGTCCTTACAGTGTTGTTTGTGTGTAGTAATTTTGAAACTTTGTAGGCCTTTTTCAGATCTTCTAGGCTAGAGTCCTACCACTTTTATTTTCAGTCGTGAAGTTGGAAGGATGGGAATGATGGATATCAGCTAGATTCTTGGTTTCAGCTGTAGGGCTATATTTTTTCCCTGGAAGGTCTGCTAGCCTCAGTAGATCCGCACAGCAGCTGACTAACCTGCTTCTTCTCAGTTTCTCATAACGCTGCTGTTGGGAGATTCGTGACATTCGGCTCGAGGGAAATGGCTGTGTCCAGTTTTTAAAAGGCAGAGAGCTATAACATGGTACAAGATGGTTGTAATTAGTAGACAGGATTGCCAAGAGGATTAGTAAACAGCAGCATAAAAAAACTCCCCTCTTTTGTTTGTCAAAGAGCTGCACTTTCATGGAAGTTTTTGAAGATTGTTGATAATTACTGTGAGATTTAGTCTAGGTAAGCTCTTAAAACTTCAAATAGCAATTGGAATCTTATTGAATCCTACTCACTGCTTCATCAACGCTGCCTTCCCTGAGGTGTTCAGTATCTGCTTTCTGTCTTGCTGGTGTGTCTGGTGCATTTGATGCTAGTACTGCTACAGTGATTGCCTCACTCAGGTGTTGAGTGCGAAATAAATCAAAGGGAAGCAAGTTACAGTGTCCCTAAAATGTTCATAGTCGCCTCTGTGGATCATCTGCTGATATTGGGGAGAAATAAAAATATTTTGTAATTATATAATAAGACAAGTTCCTTAAATGAGTGCCTGAAGAAGTATGGATTGGGGTCACACTTTAGAATATCTTGACTTTTAATTAACATAACTGTTAATTCCTAATAATTAAGCATTTTATGAGACAGTTACTGCATGTTTCATGAATAAGCAGTAGTAGAAGAAGGAAAGGTTTGAACAAGAAATTTGGACTAAAAGTGATATTATTCCCAAAGACAGTTTTATTTCTCCGTTCACTCGGGTTCGTACCTAGAGTCTTCTGTTCCCAAGTCCTGTCTGCCTTTTATTTAGATGCTTGTGATCAGTGATCTAATACAGTAAATTAAGTCCTATATATACTTGCTTTCATTCTTTAGCTTTCTTTAGGAGAAAAAGCTTGGTTTTCAAAATAAAAATGGTATTTTTATTCTTGGAAAAAATGATATTTTTATTCAATTGCATTTGCTTACTCGTGCTTACTGTGTTTATTCAAGAGCCCATTTGCATGTAATAGTGGTAAAGCAATCTATGCATCAGGAATAAAACATACTATTAAACTTCAAATACGGCAATAATCAGTTATGTTGCTACAAGCCCTATCAAAAAAAAAAAAGGGATAATGTAAATCTTATGTGAAAAATTAGCTTGGATGCCACGGGGCCACAGCAGAGCAGCATAGTCACTGTATTCAGCCACTGAGGTAGCACATAAATATTCTGACTTGCACATTGGTATGTAAGAAGACAGTTTAGCTTCTTTCCATCATCCCAACATACCTATATTGGCCTGGCTTTTAGGAAAAAAAACTATTGTATATTTAATATTGTATATTGATTTTAAATATTTAATCACTTGAAAATAGCGAAACACGGAAGACACAATGCCATGTTTTAGAACTGCTTTTAGGTAAAAGGATAGAATCTGTTATGTTCGTATAAATTAGTCTAGTGAAAATTAAGTGATTCTATAAGCATTTCTGTTAAACTGTTACTTTCTTTGACAGTTTTTTCAATTTAAACTAAATATGGTTTTTTAAAGCCAAATAGAATCAGTAACTAGAGACAGTGCAGATTGATTTGTTTTCCTGAATAGAAAGTGACATGTTAATTTGTGATATGTCTATTCTATAAACATAGTTTAAGCACTTCATTACAACTAAGAACGCAATGCTTAATTATGTTTCACTGCAGTGGTCTTACTACTGTGTTACTTTTTCAGAAGTCTATTTACTACATGGAAAATATGTAACCCAATGGAAAACATGGAACCCAATTTCTGACCACCTGATATAAACGTGTCTTTCCTTCTAATCACTGAAATCCAAACTCTCAAAAAAATCCATTTGTAGTGTTAAGACTTTTATCTCTTAGTAGACATTAACTGTAAACATTTCCCAGATTCTTCTCTTCATGTGTAGATGCCTCTCTAAAAGCAAATTATATTTGGCTGTTTTCTTAGCTGTCTCAAAAGAATAGGCATTAGTTACTGGTCTGCGACTTGTTCCCTTTGGATGCGCTTGACTTTACTAGTTATCCCAGTTATTTCCAGTTTCCATACTGGGAATGGCAATGTCGATTGTAAAACAATACTTTTGCATACATTAAAATTGTTTCCTTTTGTCTTCAAAGGGTACAGAAAGCAGAACAGACCTTGAAGACCTGCACCTTTACGCAACTCCGCGGGAGCAGCGGTTTCGTAGGTTTGCCAGTCTGGAATTTGAGGGACAGCTGTATATGACTCCATATGACTTCATTCAGGCTGTCACGAATGATGAACCTAAACGTAAGCAGGCATTTTGTATTGATAAAAATGCCAGAGAAATTGCTAATGGCGTGCTCTTTTATTCCATTTGCTTTTGGTTACTACTTCTGGTTCTGACTATGGTGAAAAGATACTGGCTCTTCCAGAATTTCATTTTTAGAATTTCATATCCAAGTATTAACAGTTTAACTGCCATTAGGTTGTAAACATCTACATATTGCTTTCTGATTCCCTTAAAAATTATTAATTAGACACTCGTGTCTTATAGGTCACGCATAGCTTAGTAGGCATGAAAGACTATATTCAGTTAGTGTTTTGGTTTATTTCTAAGCAAGCCAGTATTGCTCTAAAGCTCTTACATCCTTCTGTCTGTGTAGTTCGTGTTTAAATGGGCAGGCAGGATCCGAGTTCTCTAATGTAGGATAACTTCGTTTCAGTTTTCCCTATTTTAAAATGTCTACTTTTTTTGTTGTTGTCGTTTTTTGCCATAAAGAGATTCTAGAACCGTATTATGGTCTTTTAAATAACATACTTTGAGTAGGAGTTTCAGTCCCTCTGGGGATTCACTTTCTACATTTAAAAATTGCCAGAGGTAGTGGTATGTCTTAATTAAATTAATGAAAAATAAAATATAATCTTCAGTTGACTTATTTTCAAATCTAGCTTTAGATGTCAAAGACTGACTAAATAGTAAAATACTACATTTCTGATCTAGTTTGATTTCCTGGCCCTGAGGCTTACAGTGTGCTGGTAGCAGAAGACAACTTCTGGGGAAAGTGAATATTTGGCTTTGCTCAGCTGTGACATTTATGATAACTCACCTTAGGTCTTTCTTCTTAAAATCTGCAGCACAAAGATAATGTTGAGAACTCTGAAAACCAGCTGAAACTGTCACCTTGAGTCAGAGGAGAGCTTAAACCTCTGGGCAGATTTTTTTTTTTTTACCTTTTGTTCTCTTAGCAGTAATGAGATGGAAAAAATGATTCAGCCATGACACATCAATGATCAAAACCTATATAAATCTTGAGTAAGGATATAATCTTCTTTGTTATTACAAGAAGTATGAGAAGGTAGAGCCTTAGGTAGTCTTAGATGGTAAAAGCTTCAAAAACTTTGAACCTCTTACCAGGATGCAGTTCTTCATTCTCTTTTTTCTCTCTACAGTTAAAGGAGAGAAAGCAGATTCCTTATCGTGGAAATTAGTACAAATACACACCCAGACTTTGTATTTTCTCTGCCCACACCTCCAAATCTTCTTTCTGTTACTGTTGGGTTTAGCAGTCTGTCCCTGGGCAGTCCATCTCTAACATAGTCAAATATGGTTATGGAACCTTTGTACCATTTGTAGGAGATCATTTAGGGGATTAAATAAAAAAAAAAAAAAGAAACATTTAGCTTCAGTTTATAATGCTTTGACCAGTCTGACCACACTGTGTGTGTATGGTACACTACTAAGATGGTGCCATGCTAATTTAAATATATGCTTACTCTGTAAGCATTCCCCCAGTGCAAATATTCAGGTGGGAGGGAGAAAAAAAAAAAAAAAGGAGGAAACGCTGTGAGTCAGAACTTGAAAAGAAGATACTAGACCCTAGGCAGTTCTACCTTCTAGCGCAGTAAGCACTAGACTAGAACTGCTGCTTCACTTTCATATAAAACGAAGACCAAGATCTCAGCTTCACATGAATAGAGTTGTCATTAGTGCTTAATTTTCCTGTGGAAGGAGTCCACTGACTAGAGTTGCATGAGTGTATTGTCAGGTCTTCATTAATTCACCAGGCCTCTTAATCTGGTTGGAAAGTAGAGGACCTGACCTATGTTACCACATAGTGGCTTATTTGGGTCCAGCTTTAAGCTCAAAAGGATCCCACACCAACGAAGAAGCAATCTGACGTTCGAACAACCCGAAACATTTCCAAGGCCAGAGCAATGAACCTTGTTTGTATTGAAATCTTATGGTTCAACCCAATTAATTTCTGACATTATAAGCAAAATTAACGTAGATACCTTTTAGTTTTAGAGAAAATATGACTGAGGTAGTTTTAAGAGGGAGTGTAAACTCACTAGAACTAGAAGTGCATGACTTCATTACTGAGGAAAGTCATTGCCTGGAACACTTTAAAAACATGTTAGGCAGAAGGCTGACAAATAGAAAGGAGTACACAGAGTAGATAATCTACAGGTATTATCATATCCAACTTCAGGGCACTGAATGTTAGTCTTCATCTTTGTACTGCAGCTTTGTCAAAGTACTGCTTGATCAGTTGGAGCAAGCAGTACTGATTTTCTGTCTTGCTCTGTTGAGGTTAGTATGTTTAAGGAAATTGTGTGTTGTTTTCTTTTTAAACAAACATTTTAAAATAATAAGTGCTAAACATCATATTATGATATTGTTATCATTTTGGTTTTGCTTTAAATTGTAACTAATTGGGTCCATGCCACCTGATGTACTATAGTAATTGTATCTTTTAGAAAAAAAGGTCAGACACTTGGACTTTTATGGATGAAAACTAGAAAGGCCTTGAGTTTTGTCAGAAAGCAAAAATGCCCTTTGAAGAGTAATAATAGTAGCTCTTTGCGTCTGCTTTACAGAAAAGCTAATAATGCTAGACCTGAATGAGATTTCTGATGGAATGAATGAGTCTATTGTGATTGATTTACTCTGAAAATCTTGAAAACCTTGTAAAGTGTTCACTTCCTTTTTTGGTTAAACACTGATTAATATGATAAAAGTATATTTTCTTTTACAAAATTTTGACTTTAAGCAGTCCTTATAAAAATATAAGATAAGCACCACAGTTAATTTTGTACTCCTGTCTTTGTGATACAAGATTTAATTCAGGGAAATGTATTATGCATTTTTATATATATATATATATATATTTATCATTTGAATAAATGTCTATATTTTCCAAAAATCAAATTTTTAAAAAGAGGAAATATATTTTGTTCCCTTTATTTCTAGTTTGGCTAAGTGTAAACTTTTAGGTCTAATACTTACCTGTTAACTTACTTGCTTGTCTAGAAAAATAGACCTATACATATTTATGACTGGAAAATTACCTGATTGGAAGGTTAGATATAATTATTTGCCTGGGTTTTTTTGTTTTTTTGTTTGTTTGTTTGCTTGTTTTGTAATAGGCATAAATGTAAATCAATCTATATCACAAAGGAGGTTGTTCTGTAGTGTTTTATTTTGATATTTTGAGATGAGACCTTAATTCACACTAAAAATTTTAAAATGAAATGTACATGGAAATATTTCAGCTTATTTTCTTCGTATAACCCTGCTTAGTCGTGGTAGGAGGAGGAATTCACAAGCAAATAAGTGCTAACCGTGGCTGAAATGTAAAACTAAAATTTCAGCAGGTTTCCATGAAGTGATGAAACACTATTGTATGTAGCTTCTGTACCTAGATTGCTTTTAACAAAATGGGAAGTCCATTATAAGGAAGGGATTTGTAGTGCCACACAGTATACTGCTGTATAAAAATGAGCTGTTATCAATCCAAAAATCATAATTTCACCACATAATAATATTTTTTTGTAACTGTAAACTTGCCATCTGATATTCACAGTTAATTGATAACTTAATATTGATTCCATGTAGAAGTTTATTTGGAAGGGATAGTAATGGACTCAAGTCTTGAATTGCTGGGTGATCTTGGACAGCTGATGTCAAATCCCAGTTTCTTTTTTTTTCATTTTTTATTTCCTCTCCTGGATACATAAAAAGGTTTAGGAAGAGAACATTTATTCGGTGTTACTCTTTATCAGTTTTCAGTTTTCATATCCAGTTCATGGGCTGCTCTGACCTGGAGGTCTTCTGCAGCTCTGTGGAAATCAGTTGTGAAAACTTGTGTTTGAGAGATGCTGTTAAACAGCAGCATGAAACTCTGAGTGACTAAGAGTGGCTGAAAGAAGTCTTAGCTTTAGAGGCTGTTTCAAGGATTTTTCTGTATGTGTTTTCAAAGGTTTGAGGGCTCCCTGAAGCAGGGACCAGAACCCAGGTCTCTCCTGCATGTGGGGTTGTAACCACAGAATCACAGAATGATTAAGGTTGGAAGGACCTCTAGAGATCAAGCTATTACTGCTCAATAAGAGTTGCAGGATATTGATGCCACAGATGAACTTGAATTCTTTCTATTTCCTATGTCTCTGTTTAGTGTTGAATTGTGCGTTTGGAGATAAAAGAGCTTTCCCTAACTGAGGTGGAGTTGGATTTAAAACTGTATATTTGGAATCTTTAAAGTTAGAAGTTTAGGTATATATTAAACTAGTCTGTTAGTAACATATATAAAAGTCAATTACTTTGAGCCAGACTGTATTGTTTGAAGATTTGTCTCGTGAAGTAAGCAGGGTAAAAGTCATTTCTTTGCCTATAAAGCACTGAGTACAGAGGCAATCTGATTTCTGTGATATCACATTGACATAACTAAATTCTATATATTCATAAGTTTTTGTCCTTTGTTGCAGATGCTAGAAAGTGGAGATGTCTTTCAAAGCAGGTGGGCAATAATTCCCATTTGTAAAATGGGTTATTTTACAACCACAGATTTTACTTTCTCTTATGGTGTAAACTTGCAGTCACAGAAGAAAGATGGGGCTCTTTTCATCTTTATCAAAAAGCTGGGACTTTATTTCCTTTATTTTGTCAGGCGTATTTGACTCCTGAATCTCACAGATCTGTGCAGATGTGCTCAGATAAGCAGTTAATGGACTAATCATATGTGCAAAATGTGTGTATGAGCTTGAGCACTTCCAAAGCGATTCTGATAAACTGTAGCTACATTAAGTAGTAGATCTGCATACAGTCTTGCATCTTGATTTCATAGCATTTACTGGTAATCTGATACTGTCTTCTTTAAATGTTTAGATATGTATTTTTATGTTTCTGAAATCTTATTTTTTTTAGGAACTGAATCAAATACTTATGGAAACGCCACCAGTTTGGAAAGGATCATCTAAACTTTTCCGTAATCTTAATGAGAAAGGTGAGGGATGAGAATTTATTTTTCTGAACCGAATTATTGCAAGTATTATTTTTAGTATGACTAAAATGAGTGCATATGTATAGTTTGATTTGGATCTTCAAAAAGTAAAAAGCTTCTTTTAAATAGTTGAGCTGCACAGATTTATGCCAGCTCACCCTGGGTCAGCTCGAGTGACCGTTGTCTATTCTTTCTGATCTTCGTATTTGTGCTTCTCTGTCTGTGCAGTTGTCATTTCAGAGCATTTCTCCTGTAAATGCTCAGAGAATCAACCAGATTCATATGGTAGCCTGTAGCTACCATATACCATCACAAACAAAAGGAGACAATGCTCTTAAGGCCTTTTCTGTTGCTTTCTTCATGCCTGTGACAGACTCCTTGACAATTGTACTTCCTTCCTTGTTCTTACAACAAAGAGGGCGTCATCAAACAAACTCTGAAGTACATTCTTTGTACATTTATTGACTGGCTATTAGAAAATATTTTACATCTCTGTGTCAAAACCTGTGAGGTATCTGATTTGTTGATATTTGCTAGTCCAAACAGATTCATGTAGGCCATTGAGATAGAACTTCTGCAAGATTCTGAACAGAATACATAAGATACAATACATAAGACTTGTTATTTAAATGCCTGCATTTATTTTTGAATTGCTAATCTGCAGTGTGCAATGTGACATTAAAAATACCTAAGATTTTTAAGTGTGGCGCCAGATTTTCAATTAAGAGACAGTTTGCACTTGTAATTACCAAGCACTTATTACAGTCAAGGATGTATTGAAACAGCAGGTATCAGGAGGGAAGTGTTACTGAAGTTCTAAAAGAGGAAATGTTTACATACTGCTGAAGAGTGCTCTTGTGGTTTTAGGAAAGAAACAAATACAAGATTTATATGAATGTCTAAGAATCTAACCAGTTTCTAATGAAGTTACTCTAGCTATTTTTTCACCTTATTTAGCATGTTCTTCACCTAAAATATTTTTTAAAAAAGATAAATACCTCATTGACTAGGTTGAATACAGTCATAAGCACACAAATACCATTATACATACCCGAGTGTACAGAAATGCTCCTTGCAGTGCATTTATCTAATATTTTCAACTTTAGAAAGGAAAGACAATGTAAACCTGATATGATATACCATTTTTTTTGTCTTCAGGTGTGATATCTTACACAGAATATTTGTTCCTGTTATGTATTTTAACAAGTAAGTATTTGGGAACGGTGGGATGGGGGCAACTCCTTGTAATTTATGAGCTGAAAATATATTCCCTTACACTAATTGGAATACTCTTTACCTCTCTGAAAAAAAAGGTATCATGCATCTCTATGTCCATTTGAACCTCTCCTGCCCTACTAAAATCTGGTGTTATGTTTTAAGTGCTTTCTTATCTGAAACACATTTTGCTGAGCATTAGGAAGGTTCAAGCAGACACTTCAGCAGATCCCCAGTTAAGAAGTTATCTTTATTACATTATTACTATGTTTTTCCCTCTATTAGTGCATAATTGGAGACATCAATCTGACAATCATATTAGTACCTATTTTTCATTTTAGAAAACTTGTCAAAATAAATGAAATGTATATTTGCATATGAACATAATAAGAATCAAAGTTATGATTTGCATTCACTGTGTGTACCAGTGTACCAATTTCAATTGGTTGAGTATATTGGTTTTGGAAATAGATGCCAGGTAATATCTTAGAAAGTTATACTTTCTAAGCAAAAGTTCTAAACTTCTAAAAGTTTTTTTAATTTTTTTTTTGGCAGAGCCTCATGCAGGTTTTAGAATTGCTTTCAACATGTTTGATACTGATGGCAATGAGATGGTGGACAAAAAGGAATTTTTAGTGGTAGGTGTATTATCAGTCTGAATATTTTTATGTAATCTTGAAATGTATTGTTTTTCAGATATTATTTTTACAGTGTACTTGTGTACTGTATATGATTTTTTTTTGACATTTGATTCCATCTGGATCTTGTGAATTGCTACTACACTCTCAAATAACTAGAGTACATAAGTAGCACTGCTGTTCCTATGGACAGCAGAGTTATTTGATTGCCATGGTGATGAAGGCACTTTGGAAAGAATATTTTTCTTTGAAACCTCTTCACTTTGTCATTCATTCATTCTCATGATCCCAAAAGAATTGATAGTGTTACATTAGATCAGTCAACATTTTCATCTGTTTTGAACAAAATCTATAATGAAATAAAATACAGTTCTTGTGTGTCTGCCTTGGCCTTCATTAAATCCTGTTTTCTCAAGTCACTGCCCTATGTACTTAAAAGCAGGTGCTTTCATGACCATGGACTGAAGCCATCTAGGAAGCTGAGGTTCAGTGATTCTTTTAAGGAGAATTCTTGGTAGCAAAACTGATATTGAGCTAAGTAATTCTGATGTGGTTTTGAGCAATGGCAGGAGACCTGGTGCTTGGAAACTTTTTTTTTAATGTCCAAAATTTTATCATACTACAAATATGAAGTATAGTGTTTGTCCAACTAGAGCTTTTTCAGTTTTTTGTTTGAACAAAGCTGTTCTCTAGATGCTTTTTGTTCATTATTTAAACATAGTTTTTTTTCTTTTTTTTTTCTTGTTAGAAATTTAAACAGTTCCTCTTGCTTATGTCATAGAGGTGAGGTCAGGGAACAGAGGGATTGTGTTCCCTTGTTACAGGAGATCTTGTTTTTGCTGCTTTCAACAGTCAATCTCATTATCCTATTTCAAACAATGTTCCTATGAAAGTACTCCCAGATCCTTTCAGGTTCACTCTTCTACTCGTTGGTATCCTATAGCACTCTTTATGAACAAAAGATCCATTTCCAGAAGTTTAGCAAGTGCTTTAATGATGAGTGCAACAGAATCCTACTCCCATTGCTTCAGTGCCTGGGGAAATATATCCAAGGATGCTTTACTTTTTTTTCAGATCTTTTTTTGGTTTTTCATTTACTGCCACTTTTCTCTCCTCCTTGATGGCTTGTTCCTTCACTTTTCACAAGGTATTTTCTTTCTGCTTCTATCTCTTCATTTACCTTTTGTTTTTCTCCTACAGTTTTGGGTTGCAAACTGTATAATCCCCAAAGCCAGCAATCTTAGCTAAAAGCCCTCCTATCATGTCTCTTCTTGTTAGGATAGGTTACACTAATTTGCGCCTATAGTTTGGCTAAAATAAAAAAAAAAAGAAAAAAAAAAGAAAACGTATGAATATCTGTAGATTTTTCCTTCACTCAAGAAGAGATACTGTGATGACAGAGAATCCTGTTCTATGTTTGCCTTACAGGAAATTCTAGGACACTATAGTCAGATTTGGAAATTCTTAAAAATGTGGTTTCTAAATGCATTTGCTATTTGATCTCTACTGCATTTATTTACTTCATTTCTGCCATACCCTGCAGGATAGTTTTCTGATCCCTGTGGCTTAATCGGTTGCCTTCTCCGAAATATGTTACTCTGAAATTTAGAACACGCTTACAGAGTTTATCACGTACATCTCGCGTTCGGATCCCTGTACAGCTCTGTGTGCATTTCATTGCAGTATCAGGGTAAAATCCAGCCTTTGAACAACTGCCACATTTGCCTAATTATGGGAGCACCATTGATCTCTCATCAGTTTGATGTTTGGTTCTGAAAATACCATGTTCTAGGTCAGAGAAATAGTGCTCCCAAATATACTTATTGGCTTTATTTTGTGGAAAAAACAAATATTTCCTTTTTCTCTGATGGTTAGGTAACAAAATAACATGAAGTCAAGGATACGAACAAAAATAAAATGACCGGAACACTTATCTTTACCTGATATTTTAGTAAAGAACTGCATTTTACCACTATTTGCAGTGTTTATTGTAGTTATTATTGATTATTGCAGTATAATGGTTATTATACATGTGAAATAGCCTGAATGTTAGATAAGAAGAAAACGATTTGTTTTGTAGCTACAAGAGATCTTCAGGAAAAAAAATGAGAAGAGAGAAAGAAAAGGAGATGAAGAAAAACGTGCAATGCTTGTAAGTATATTAGTTGCAGTTGGTAGTTGGGTTTTATATATATAACTCTTTTCTTTAAAATAATATGTATTTTAAGTGAAAAACTGAATAGTTATGACCCAGTGTCATTTTCTGTAACAGTGAGAGATCTTAATGGTAAGATCAAACTGTATTTCTTTATTTCTTTACTTACTAAAACTATTTATATAGACGTACTAATTCTGATGCTTAACACAGTGGTTTTAAAATAGCAGCTAAAATGCGATAAGCAAAATTAGGTTTTATATTTAAATTGATTTTTTTTTTACTATTATATACTATTCATGACCAATGCAAAATATTTTGACTTATTTGTATTATGTGAACATTTTTAATGCAACATTGAATACTCGTTCAATGTTAATTTTCAAATATTTTATGTATACGAGAAAGGTAAGTAGGAAATATAGAAATCTGTGGTTTGTCTGGATAAGAAGAGATGGCAGCAATAGGTTTTTTTAGTGATGAACAAATAAAAATCAGTGGCAAGCCTTTATCAATCCCACAGCAGAAAAAGGTATGTTCATTTGCAATGTGCATATTTATGGCAGAAATTCCTCATAATAAGAAACATTTGGACATATTACAAAGCTTTCCTATGGTATCCATTATTCTTTGAGAACCAGAGATTGAAGATTTCAGATCTTTGTCCTGAAAAAAAGGTGAAGTTCGAAGTTCAAGAGTTAACACTTCTTAAAACTTTCCTGACCAAAAAATATGAAATCTTTTCCTCCCAGGTAGAAAGACATATCTTTCTCTATTTTACAAATTCTATTATTATTATTATTATTTTTACATAAATAACATTGTTTGCTAACTGTTCAGTTAATACTGTTGAATTTCTCGCAGACTGTTTATTCTGAGCAAAAGAAACTTACATCCAAAAGGAGAGCTTTTGAGAAAGGTAAAGAAAGATTATAAAATGGAATATTCCTCTTGACAGTTATCTCAATTCTATACTTTTTTTTCTGAAAATTTAAAGAATGAGATTGAAAGTAAAGTAAACAATTTGCTCTCCACTGCCTTTTTGAATGAAATGAAAATAAAGTATCTAATGATATATAAAATGACAATATGCCTGTCTTAACCTATTCTGTTGTCTTTATTTTTTCCCCTTCTTTTGGCTTCATTCTGACATGTGATACTTGGCTTGGCCCATTTTTGCTGTATGTCAGCGCCTTCAACTTTATGGATATCATACTTCTACTAACAGTGTATGTACCCTAAACGTTTTCAATTTCTGCAGTCTACACCAGTGAGGTGAAATAACAAGCTATCACAAAATTTGATGTTTATGCAGTAAATTACTTCTGCTTGCCAATCAAAATGTGATGGATCTCTCTTTCCACAAAAGATTGCCTATGTTTGCTAAGGCATTTAGAAACAGGCAAGCCTAACAGGAGGAAAGGTTGCTCTATGATCAATTAAAATGAAGGAAAAATATTCGATAGGAGAAAGATAAAATACATAGTGAGAAATTATAGATCTGTTTTTGATGAACTTATGTAAATTAAGTCATCCAGCAGCATTCATTAGTCCATTCAAGGAATAATAGTTAAATTAATGTTTTACCTCTTTGTACCCGGGGCGGGGGGGAAGCTCTCTTCCAGTTTCCTTCTTTTTCAGTGCTTGACTTACAGACATTTTAAAGTCTGGTTTTTTTGTAACTTAGTTATTCGTCTATAGGAATTCACAGCTATATTTCCTTGAAGTTAGCACACAGAATTCAGGCAATATTCAGAAAGGAAATCTGTTGAATGAAGAGATGCAGATTCATAAATGACTTAAATGTTGCAAAGTATAGAAGAGTACAGGAGTGCCAGTACCATGTTGGGCGCTTTTACTTATCATAGTCTTTTTAAAAAAATCTCTCTATTTTGACAAGTGTCAAGTTCTGTAAGCCATATGATAAGTGCAGTTTTAAATGAATTGAATATTTCTGAATTTTCATTTGCATAGATTAATTCTCTTAAATCATGTTCTGGTGCATACTGCAGATGTGTATTAAGACCAGTTCTGCATGAAATGCGTGAGTGCTTTTACTAGCTGAATGCCAACTGAAACATGATGATTATGATGAGATGCATGCAGGAAAATAAATTGCACATGCTCAGAGGTACTAACTGCATTGGCTAAAGTAAATTTAGTAAGAGAAGAAATTCAGTGAATACTTACATATATTATAGAATTGCGTGATTTATATGTATAAAAGAGTGAAGCGGTACGTACGCATGGTTCAGTAAATACCAATGGGGTAAATAAGTGTCAGAGAGAAACTGAGGCACCAGGAACCTAATCCTGTAAGCACTGAATTAAACCAATTCCATTGAATTTAGCTGAATGTACTACCGAATGCAACAATGTTGTGACCATTGTATAAGACATGTTACTCCACAACAAAAGAAAGATAAAACCATAATGTTTTAAAAATGGAAAAAAAGTATATTTCAAACTGTATGATTTCAAAATGTATGATTTCTAGTAGTTTATCAGATTTCCTTGATCATAAGTTGCAGTGAGATCCAAGTTGTATTGTATAGAAGACAAAACTACATAATTGATCTTTTGGAAACAGTAGTAAAGTTGACAAAAAAAATCAGATTATTTAGCATATTTCATTCCAGCAAATATATTGTCATTTTCAGCAACCAGGCACACTTCATATTGAATGGCTTAATAGATTTTTAACTTTTCTTCTGTATAAAATTACATATGCACCTAGTGCCAAAATCTTGTTACTTCTGGGATATTAAGAACATCATTTATATAAAATATAAATTAAATATTCATTCATTTATGAGTGTTTTTATATGTAAAATACATCAGAGACAAATAATCATAAGACAGTCTTTTGAGTATTGAGCCCCATTAGATTGGTAAGAGCCCTTAAATAGTACCCTCAGTCATGCAACTGTATTACTTCTGGGTGTACTTATTTAGTAAGAGGAGCATAGTAAAATCATATTCACTAAGGAGATATTGTGCCAAAGAGCATTAAGGAAAAACAAAAAATAACATTTTTTTAATTTATGTGGAAATTTATATGCACACACACATATGGTATATTTATATCATTTCAACTATTTAAAGAATATCATGCATTTAAATTTCCATGGTTCACATTATGTAGACGGCATAGGAAAAATAAATCTTCATTCTATGTAATGTTCTTCACAGTAACTGTGGCTTTATACATTATAGAGCAGTCCCATCAGAGTCTACAAACTCCATGATGGGACACATTTTATAGCAGAAAAAAAAAGGGGGGGGGGTTTCATTTGTAGGTAGGTTAAAATCATTCTATGACTTTGTCTTGTGTCCCCAGATGGACAAAAGTGGGGAGCCCCTATTTCAGATTTAACCTGTGGAGAGAAAGGGGAAAAAATAAGACTTAATAACCCTAGCCCAGTTCAGGTAGCCTTGAGCTGTGTTCAAGATCATCTCCGCTAAATTCTTTGGGGGGAAAAATGAAATATATCATGAAGCTTTTCCAAGAGTAGCTGCAATATACAAAAAAGGCTTATTATAAAAAAGGGCCATTTTTTGGGCTTCTAAAAATGATAGAGACATGTAAGATCAAAAAGGTGATCAAAAAGGTAAGCATATTTGTACTATAGATAAATACTTATTTTCTGTTAACTTTGATCATCAGACATGCATAATGTTTTGTTGATAAGTACATATCAGTTATAAACTGAACTTAGTACGCTTGAGTTTGTCTTTTTCCTAGTGTTGCAAGACTGTCATCCTGATTATCTGCTAGAATAAAATTTTGATAAAGGAGATAGCAAATTTTATGCCATAAGAATATGAAATAGTATTTTTCTTAGAGAACAAAATTACTGAAAAACAACAGCAAGAATTAGAATTTATATGCATGTTGTCAAATGTACTTCTAAAATACAGTCTGTAAATTATTTTATTTGAGCAAGTAGAATCTGGTGATGCTTCTGGCACAGCCACTTTATAAGTAATAAGCAAATAGCTGGAGTAGCCCAGTATTGCTTTACCTTTGTAACTTTACGTAGAGATTTCTCAAAGTAAAAGCAAAGGAAACAAGCCATGCTTTTGAAGATAGGTTAGGAAGAAAAGTCTGTAGACTGTTCCTTTACTGTTCTTTAATTTTTCACACGACTGTGCTTCTTGCAACTTCTGCAGGTACTTAAAACAGAAGGAGAGGACCTTGTCCCCAGAAGCTACTGGGATACTTTGAGACGTAGCACAAGCCAAGCACTCTTTTCGGACCTTGCAGAGGTATAAGGCAACCTCTGTCTCTGGTCCATACACAAACCACTCATTTCTCTTCTGTTTAATGTGGTATTTTATGTGTTTTGTTTCTTTTCCTCATTTTAGATAGTTTTTCTTAAAACCTGAAAGTCTCAGATGAAATGTATTTGTTTCCATGCATTGCTGATGTTAAGATTGTCCTTTCCAGATAAAAGCAAAGCTGCCTTTTGAAAGAGCAGGAGAATCAAGGCCTCTTAAGTCTCTACTGCAAAAAGAATTTTCCAAAAGCAGTAGCAGTAATATTTAAGTTATGGTAATAATTTAGGAAACCTTTTGACATCCAGAGATGTGATGACTTTAACAGAGTTGTAGCTTAAAAGCTTCTAATCTTTAGGCTACTTTGTGGGCTTTAAAAAAGTGCTTTTTATGTACATTATCAAAGATCATCTTCATAAAAGCAATGTAATGCAAAGATTAATTTGAATTTGTTGGATCAAACCAGGAGTGTTTTAAGGTAAATAAAACAATTATATTAGTCAGTCTCTTTGAATGTTGCATAATCATCATGGGGGACTAGCAATATTACAGTGTCATCAAATTAGTTCTTTAAATTCCATAGTAGTTTAATGCTGTGCTTTCAAATAAATGAATAACAGATACTGATTTGTACTGATTATTTACGAGAGTCAGCACACCAGAAGATCTAGGCATTTTAGGCCCCATATGGTGAGGCTGATTGCTTTGCTGGCTGTGCCACTAAAGGACGCACAGTAACTCTCTGCTGACTCTCAAGCTTCATAACCAGGATCATAATGAGAAAGGAACATACAGACCCAGGAGGGTCTTTCTTCTTTCTTCATAAGCAATGTATGCTGCATATTAAAATGAGTGTTTTGTCCCTGCTGTTCCTATTTGGAAGCTGTTCTATAATAGAGGACTTTGGACTTTTCCTCATTTTCAACTTAAATTTACTTATAGTCCCTTTATACCAGTCTGTCCTTTTCCCCTTCTCTGGTGTTAATCAGCTTGCTCATGACTATAAGAGCCCTCAGTTTTCCCAGGTTTCAGATAGGCCTTCTCTATTCCTCTCAGTTTGAGTTCATCTGCTTCTGAACAAAACTATCCTTGATGTTATGGAATTGAATTTTAGGCTGATATTTATAGCAGTAATTTGTAGCAATAATGTGTTCACAGTGATCCTGAAAACAAACAAACAAACAAACAGTACACCTGCAGTACTCCTGGTCTTTCTTTTCCTTGTTTTTAAATTGATGAGCTCCTGAACTGTCAATCTAGTTATTAGTCCTTAAGGTCGGGATTTATCCCACAGACTTTTATATAGGAGCACTGGTATTCTAGGCTTCCCCTGGTCAGCTAAGGGCCATACAGAAAGACTCTTCAGTCTCTATTCATTGACTCCTTAAGGAGCTTTTAGGCACTGGGTTTTCTGAATGAAGTGTCTTAGTTGTTATTAGTTGTTAACTGGAGGAATTCAGCCTATGTTCAGATGGACTTAAGTTTGGAAATCTCTTAACACTTTTGATTTAAGAGGAAGAAAAAATTGTATATTATTAGAGATGCCTTACACTGTAAGCTACAGTAACCTACAATGTAGTTAAAACTTACGAGCAGCAGTGTCAAACATTGATTTAAATTTGTCTATAAAATGTTTTTAAAACCTCTCTGCTCACTTGTTAATCATTTTATGAAGGCAAATCACATATCCTTCATTTTCTACACAGAGAATTTACCACTTCTCACCATGACCATCTTTATCTTTCTTGGCATAAGTTTGAGCCAGCTGGCTCTCATCCACATTCTTATCTCACCCAGGTGCTTTCACATCTGAATGATATTATAGCCATCTATGCTAAAAAAAAGTGGCATAAAGCTAAGTAATATGGGAGTCTATGTTGTCTTACAGCCTTTTGAAAAGGTCTTGTGTAAACTGAAAAGGAGAGTAAATAAGGCTTGTTCTTGTGTGACTCAACTTACAAGACCTCTTTGGGGAAAAAAGAAAATTTATTCACCACACGTGATGAATCCTTTGGAGGAAGTTGTACAGCATTATTTCTGCCATTGCTACTTCAGGAGCTATTCCTACATGCTAGAACATCCTGTTTGCTGCTGAGTTCACTTTGTGGATCTGCTGTGAAATGACTAAGTGAAATGAGAAATTAGTATGGTTGTTAGAACACTTGAAAATCAAGGACTGAGCTCATGGTAATTGGAAATAATACTTGCTTTCACGCTCAGAATGTATTAATACAAGCAGACTATCACTTGTGTATTTAAGTTATTTTTAAATGAACGTCTCTGATCTGGAGTAGTGGAACTCTCTGATGCACATCCATTTACTGCTCTCTGGGATAGAGAAATTTAGATACAGACAAGAAAGGATTTTGCCACTGTGCCTCAAGCTGATGATGTGGTCAAAGCAGTTGTCTGTTCTGTGCGTCTTTTTACCTATATTTATTTAACAGAGGGTGTAAAAGTAAAGAGATGTTTTTATTCTTTTATATAAAAGATTTTAAAATATATTAGAATAAAATAGGGCTCCACGTTTAATTATATGGAAATAAATATGGAAACTGATTTTCACTTATATAAAATACAAAATTTATTTAATTTTGAAGGCAAAGGAGTAATTTTAAAGGAATAAAAGCCTTTGTTTTTGCCCTTACCTGAGTTGCATAATTGTATTAATGCAGAAGGAACACAGGAATAGTTCTTAGTTGCCTGCAATTCCACGGAGAAGCATATTGGCTTGAGTTTCTGGGGTGTTTTTTATTATTTTTTATTTATTTATTTATTTTAATATTATTTAGTAAAGCTGACCAAATGGAAATTGTGAAAAGATTTACAGATTGTATTTTTTAATAGTTTTTTAGATATAAGTGACTGTAACCTAAGTCTAAGGTTGTGAAATGTTTTTATAAGATGAAAGGCTGTAATTTAACATTTGATATCTTTTCAGTGTACTTGAGGGAAATTGCTTGAATGTGCTTAGGGATTTAATTGTTTAAAAGACAGAGGAAGTCAGGGTATCTGCATTTCAGTGTGTTATGTCCTGTAGTGGAGGATAACAATATTAAAAGAAAATAGTGATTACTTTTCTGAATTAATTAGCTCACTTCAAGAGCTGAGTTGCCTTAATTGAAGGACATCAATTATCTCTATGTGTGTATATATATATATACTATGTCATCTTACTTCTCCCTAGAGAAAAATATGAGAATAAAGAGGAAGCTAGACTACATGAAATATAATCTTGAAAATCCTAAACTGATTGTACTAAACTGCAGAAGAGTCTCTGCTATTTCTTCAGTTCTTGAATGATGAAAGGAAAAGATTTGTTGTTACTGCCTCATGGTTTTCCTTCTTTATTCCCTTAGCTGTTGATACATATGTGTTTTTACTCCATAGAACATTTTAAATTTTTGCAAGCTAATATGTACACTTGAACGTAATGTAGTTTTGATCACAGAGTGTAGATGTGAAATGGTATTTTTTTTGAATTAGTGCTCTGTACAGCCTTACTATGCCCCAACTTCAGTGGGGTTGTGAGCAACAGCAGAGACTTCCTAGCTCTGAAAATTAGCTACGCTAAAAAAAAAAAATCCAGCTGTTTTAGCTGCAGACTGTTAATGAAGACATTCACTACACAATATGTGATGAAGAAAATACTGCATATTGATGAAGACTTTTATATATTAGTAGTCATAATACCAGGATATGTAGTTTATCTTTTTAATGTGTATCATTTTAGGATCACATTCTCAGCATCAGTACAGACTGTTTGCCTGAGGAGCTACTCATCAGTTCCAAATCTTTCCATTGCTGTAGATATTTTAGTAAACCAACTCTAAAATACTTCTGAAGAATGACGAAGATGTTAAATTCAAAAAATATTGTCTTTCAGAGAAATCCACTTAGACGCCAGTCCTATTCAAGCAGTGTTTTCCTCTTTGTAATTCTAAGTTACCTTGGGCAGAAGGTTCTCCCTAGGCAGGTGCATGCAGCAAGGAGCCTGAGTATATTCCATCTTGAATTTCAAATGTTGGCAGATGCACCTTAATGTCAGAAGGACATTGCCATAGTATAATACTGTGGGCTGTTAAAGCCTTCTCTTGCTGAATGATTTTCCTAGCTCTTCAGTATACTAAAAAATTCTTTTTAAAAGAAGTCAATGTACATATATCCACAGTTAAATTTGAGTATGTAGTTAAAAAAGCCATGTTGTGCCATCAGTATATGTTGTTTATAGTTCAATTGTGTTTATTTACACATTTTATTATTTAACGTATGAATCATCAAAATTAGTTGTTTTTACGATTCTAATTCCATGATTTACAAATTCATAATTGAAAAGTGCTATTGCTTGTTCAAAGATACGTATTTGGTGCAGGGACCCCATATACAACAAATAAAGAACATTCTTACATTAGTTAATCAAAATAAGATTATTTAAGGGGAATTTTTTTACAATCCTGTTGTTTCAAATAGATTTTGGCAATAACATTTAAAGTGAAGTCTTCTGCTATTTACAGAAGAGAACTAAATAAAGCACATCTGATTGATGTGAGTGTCTTTTGGAACATAGTCCCATACTTAATCATTCTGAAATATCAAGCAAGAATATATGAAATAACATCTTTTAATCTCTATGCAGATGCACAGTAGAAAGGAAAGGAGACTGTGTACAAATGTGATTTGTATGGTTTGCCTGAACCAGGTGTTTTTTCCTTCTTTCCTACAACTTTTGGTTTCTTTTATCATGCTTTTTTTTTTTTTTTTCCCTTTCATCACTATTTCTACTCTGTGTTGGATTGTTGCTCTAAGGGCTTTATACGAAATGCAGCAAACTACCTAATGCTATTTTGTGTGGAAATTTATATAACTAAATTCATCTAACAGCTTGTAATACTAAAATCTTTTTTTAATACTGTAAGCATAAAATGTGTGAACTCTTTTACTACAAGAGTCTATTGTCCTGATAAGCATTTATGGATTATACTGCTATAACCAATCTTCCTTTTTTTCCCCACTAATATTTAAGCGTGCTGATGATATTACCAGTTCACTATCAGATACTACACTGCTTGTACACTTTTTTGGCAAGAAGGGAAAAGCTGAACTGAACTTTGAAGATTTTTATAGGTGAGTCTCAATTTTATAAATTCCATGTAAAGAAGTATTTTCATACTTTTTATAATTAGTACATGTATTACTGGGCACAGTATGTATATATGCACATATTTAATGTATGTACTATGTAAAATACACTTCTGTATATTTTTAGTTTGTTTTTACAGTTTTACCTAGGCATCTGTTATGGGCCACTGGAAGGCCAGGACACCCAGCAAGAAACACCCTTGGTTTGAGTTGCGCATAGTTCTTGCAAGACAAATGAGGTGCCAGGAAGGAGTGTCACAGGCAATTTCTGCAGACTGGGGTCTTGCCAACCTGTAATAAGAGTTGGTTACAAGTCAGGGTAGATACAGACTTGAACAGACACTCTGAGGGCAATACTGTGGCTATAAAGCTACTTTAATTCTTAGATGTATAATTAGGAGAGCACAGAGAATCAGGGAACTTATATTTCCCTGCTGATGCAGCTAGCTGTTTTGTACTGTGCACAGTTTTGTTGCCCAGGTTTTACAGAATATGTCGTTAAATTGCAATGGGTTCGTAAGAATGTCGTAAGAATTAAAAAAAAAAAAAAAAAACAGAAAAAAAAAGAAAAGAAGGTAAGGTTTTACCACAATCTATACGTAGCTACATGGGGAATAAATTTGGGAAATTCACTTCCCAATAACGGGAATTTTCAGTCTTAGCATGTAAAGATCAGTGATCCACTAAAGAAGAAAATTAGACAAATACAAACTAGAAATAAATTACATTTTAAACCTTGTTAAAAGCCTTTGTTAAATTAATTAGATGGAATGTCAGCATCAAAAGAGGATTTACCGTATTTACAGTCAATGCTAAAAGCAGGGAACTAATTGGTAAAATGTTATTTGGTTTTATATTCCACATGTTTTAATGACAGGAATAGTAGAAATGAAAATCGTCGGTTTTTATTCGTTTTTGTGTTTATGCTTAGATTCATGGACAACCTACAAACTGAAGTTCTGGAGATCGAATTTCTTTCCTACTCTAATGGGATGAACACCATCAGTGAGGAAGACTTTGCCCATATTCTTTTGAGATACACAAACGTGGAAAATACATCAAGTTACCTGGAAAACATGCGCTGCAGGATTCCTGAAGAAAAGGTAGTTTAACTAGTACAGTCATGGGCAGCAGGAGGTGTCTTCAAGGTGAAATCGTAGCCTTGGTGGAGTGCATGTGGCTTCTGTCCCTGATTTCAGTGACACAAGGATTTTATGCTGATCATAAGTTTACATCTTATTTTTCATATATCTTAATGAATAGAAGGTAGAAGAGTGAATAACAACACATTATGTTCCTTAGGATTTAGGAGTATTTTTGCAGTTTAGATAAAGCTCCGTGTTACATTAAAACTCAGTTCAAGCAACAAAAAATGTAAGATTTGGAAGAGATTTTTTTCTAGAAATTAGGCTTAAAAGTTTTTTTCCAACAATGATATGTTAAAAAATGCTTTTTCTGTATTTTCTCTTTTTCATTGCTACCTGGATAAACACCTCTTCAGAATAAACATTGACAGCCTTCATCTAGTTCTATTTTAGTTTCAATAATGGGTCACTTGTGCACAATCATTGATGGGTTAGAGTTTCTGGCTCTGAATTCAGAGATAAGAAAGATAGCAGCAACAGTAAAGATCATGGGGTGGCTCATCCCTCATTTGTTTAGCAACAAATGTCTTGTCAGAAGTGTACCTGTGAAAAATGTGATGGCAACTGAATGCTTCACTGGTAATCAGTAGGATAATGTTACGAGCAGCCCTTCAAGCAGGGGGTGTTTTGGATACATTTCCTCTGTTTGTGTTTATAGTAGGATCAGGCTAGTCTGTCCTAGAAATGTGACTCTTTAAATGGCCATATATTTTAGTAGCATTGACAGTAGAGCTTTTGAAGCAAAGTAATAAATATGTTCGGATAGTTGCAGACTAACTTGGGAAATTGCATTGTCACTGAAAACAATGAAATCCTGTAAAACAGAAATTGATAATGAAATCCAACGTGAATTGTTATAAAGCTAGAATTATAATGTACAAATGTGACTGATGGAGAACTGTATCACATAAAGTTACTGTGGACTAACTTGTCATGACTTCTGCTCACCCCCTTCTGCATTTTCTCTCCTTCGCTGGCATTGCAGGGAGCAGCAGGACACAGATCAGCCAGCCAAAGCATCTGTGTTAATACAGGGGGCAGAAAGGGACAAACCGTTTTGATGGGATGACTAAGTAGCCTGTTCTCTCCCAGGAAAAGGTCTTCCTGAGAAAGAATTATAACTCTAAAACACAATATTTTGGGATCTTCAGCTGCTACAGCCATGTCCAGAAACCAAACTTGTTTTACGGGGTCTTACTACCTCCCAGCATTATCTCTCAACTGACTAGATGTTGACTGACTAAAGGGAACGATCCTGTCTTCTTTCCTCTTTTCCTCAGCCTCATATTTCTGCCACTTCCTTTGCATTTACACATACATGTGCGTGTAGCCGACTTTACAACTAAGAAAGATTAGTTAGCTGAGCTGGTAGAAGTTCACTTCAAAAATTAAGTTTTCCATTGGAATATCTGATTCATCTTGTGCTTGTAGAGTAGCTAGTTCCAATGCAAGCAGCAAGGCACAAAAATAGCTGAGGAGTGGGAAGGAAAGCAGTGCTGCCTCCTTCATACCAGATTAGGTGTAAAATGAAGCAGGATGGTTGGAATCACCGTTCTGCTCATTGACCTTTTGAGCTTATAGTCTAGTCCTTGAGACACCCAGCTATTACATTAGACCAAACTATTACATTAGAGATCTGTGCAGCTTTTAACGTTTAAAAGCCACGGCACTGCTACAGAAATTGTATAAAGCTATCTTTTTAGGTTGCCAGCTGCTTTTTGTTGAAGGTGAACTCAGGATTAACATGTATATGGAATGTTTGAAAAAAAAGAAAAACAATTTGGAGGTTTGTGTAAAAACAATGATATACATATCACTTAACATAATAAGAAGTGATTCAATCATCGGGAGAGAGAAATAAATGTTTGAGGAGCAAGGGTGAAGTTGATTAAGTGAATACAAATGCAGATGATTTTATTATATGTATATATATATTTAACACGGACAATATTCTTCGGGGTTTCAGTACTGCTGTTCTGAGAGCCTTCCACACGGTGGTTTCGTGTTTTTCACCTGGTGTCACCATCAGCCAAGGAAGCGCCTGCGCGGACTGCGGCGCCGGGTGCCCATGTGCTGGTGCTGCGCCCTGGGGACGTCCTGTCGCCTCCCCGTTGACACATGCCTCTGGGTCAGAGGAAACAGGGCATCATTGTTTTCTCTGACCCCATACCACTGCTTTGGCAAATGCACAGTCACTTTCGTGGAAAAAATCAATTCCTGCAGCATACCTGTCTTGCTGGCAGGAGCCTTTGGGGAAGGGGATTTTGCCCCCTATTGTTATGGAGGCATTGTTGATATTTTCACACATTATTTATTTATTTTTGCATTCCAAATTAGCAATATAATTCCAAAACTATAAAACACACTCTATATTTTATTACGGTAGTATGCTGCAACACTAATATTAAGCAGAGGATTCTATTTAGAGAAAAATGGCACTAGCCTGTAAAGCAATACTTTCCCAGTTGGCAGTGTTACTCTTTCTGTGGCACCGTGTGCAGGAGCCTGTGAAGCAACGTGACGATCGTTTGGCAGAGCACAGTCATGTTGAAAGGTTCGGCTGGCAGGCTGCCTGCTCACAGGATGTTCTCCTCCTTTGGCTAACTAGATGCCAAGCAGTGATTCACGCATCTTGAATTACTGTGATTATCCGCCCCTAAAGAAAGTTTATGCTTTTTTGACAGCATTGGTGCATTAATATAACAGTTTTCTTTGCTGTGGTAAAATATAATCTGTGCAAAGGATTAAAGTTCAGTTTCCTTTTACATAGAAAATAAATAATTTCCGGTAGGAACCTGGGAAACCATGTAAATAATTTCATAATTTAAAATTATGCAAAATAATGAATGTTATTACAGTTTCCATTTGAACAAAAAGTGGTCCTAGGAAAGGACTTTCCTTGATGCCTCTTTTGTGATCTTTTGTCTTTCCTCTTGAAGGGACTTAAACATCTAGGATTGCAGATGATTTCAGTGGAAATTGTAGAACAATTTTATTTGGAGAATATTTTTTTCTCATTGCTAAAATATTGTGGAGACTATACTATTTAGCCTGAGCTTTTATCACTAGAAAGTAGTGCTCTTTCACTTGTTTCTCTCTACTTTATCTCCAGTATGATGTGGGATAAGTTTTCTTAGCTACTAGAAGTCCAGAAGCTGCAAAAAGGCTTTTTTGTAGACTAGTGGCTCTTAGTCTTTCCAGTGCAAGAACAGCTTTCCACCTAGACTAATGACTGCCTGTAATTGCATGGAAAGAGTCAGGACTTTTGCACTAACTCTTATCATATTTGATATTCAAAATCTTTACAGACACACTGGTTCAAATTAAGGATTTTTTAAAAGAATGAATCTTGGTCAACTTAAAGCTATCAGCTCAAGGCATCTATGACTATTAGTTATTATCTCTACTAGATATTGCTGCTTTGCCTAAGAGTGTTAGTTGGGGACTAGGGTTTCACTAAGCTAAGATTTCACATAGTGAGAAAAGCCTTGCAATATAATACAGTGCCTGCAGTATCAGTTGAAGACTTAAGTAATTATAAGTGTGGATATGTTTAAACCTCACCTTAAAGTACGGTTTAAGTTAGACCCCAACATGCATATTCATTCATTGAACATACTTATGTATGTAGATACATAACTCTCATATATGTAAAATAGTAGTTTGTTTTCTGCAATCAACACAATGCAGAATTCTTAAATGAAATTGACATGCAACTGCAAAAATTGTTTTTTCACTTGTCACTGCTGTTTTTAATTCTAATGGTACTAATTTGCATATCATTCTTTTATTCATTAGGGTATCACATTTGATGAGTTCAGGTCATTCTTCCAATTTTTGAACAACCTAGAAGACTTTACAATTGCAATGCAAATGTATAATTTTGCAAGTCGTTCCATAGGTCAAGGTAAGGATTTATAAAAAGGCAGATAATTATTCAATTTTTAAAAAAGATACAAAGCAAATTGATTTGTAAGTTTAAAATGGCAAGGAGTGTTCATCTTTGAGAGCAGCATGCTCAGTCATATCATAAGGGATACAATAAAGCTCTATAAGGTTGTGTTAGTGGTGGATAAGCACTTTTTTACACAGTGAGTAATGAATTTCTGAAAATTGTTACTACAAAGCTGTAGAGGGAAACATTATCAGAAGGTTCTGAAAGGGATTAGAAATGTTTTTAACAAGTCAGTGACTGCTAAAGGCCTAGGCAGGCAACTGCTTCCTGAAATCCCTAATGCACCAGTTGTAGATGCTTGTAGAGTGCAGGACGAAGGACCATGTGAAAGGGGCAGGGTTGTGTGCTCCCCTCAAAAGAGCATCTCTGGTGGTCTGACACAGCAGGCTCTTCATGTGGCCTTGCCTTAGGAGCACATTGTTTTCTCTGCGCTCTGTTTCTTTGGTTCTTTGATGTCTTTTATACCAAATAATTGATATCAATTAAACGTAACATAACAGTTAAGAGCTACTTGGATTGGATCTCCAAAATTCAACCCTAATTTTCACACTTTCTTATTTTTCAAGTGCTTAAGTTTGAGTGTTTGAGTTTAAATTCATGTGTGTGTTTTGTTTTTCTTCTGATATTTTCTTTATGCAGATGAATTCAAGCGTGCTGTGTATGTAGCCACTGGGCTGAAGCTTTCACCACACTTGGTGAATACAGTGTTCAAGATTTTTGATGTCGACAGAGATGACCAGTTGAGTTATAAAGAGTTTATCGGCATTATGAAAGATAGACTTAATCGAGGGTTCAGGGTAAGGATGCTGATTTTCATTGTTATCTTAATTGATTTTTCTTTTAAAATAACTAATAACATGAGTTTAAACAAGTAATTCTTTTAGAAATTCTGAAGCAATCTAAAAGATTAATCCCTTCTAAATTTCTAGAAATTTTTGTATTGGGAGATATTACACATAAGGCACAATGTACCTTTTTATAAGTGCATAAATGAAACTGGGTATCAGAAGTATTCTGCCTACTGCCATTTCTTCTACAGGGTGCGATTGATAAGTTGGTATTAAGAGTTTTAACAAGGATAACTGTTATATCTGGGATATTTTCAGCGAAGAGGCTCTCAGTCTCTTCCTCCCTCCCTACGTCACCCTCTCTTCCTATTTTGTTTAGCCATTTCTTGCAGAAGTTTGCATAGGGAAAAGCATGTAAATTGTGGTGCAAACCTTGCCTTTTAGGTGAAGGTGTAGACCTTGGTGCCCTCTTCAGGTTCTTTGTAGCATAGAAAAACATTAGAGTAGTAAATTTTTATTTTTTAACTGTGGAAAGTAGATTACTTCGTTACTGGCTGGTGTTAACTGGATAACTTTTTTTAAAGCTAGTTATTGATTCACAATATGGAGTGTTAACACTGATTTTAGAAGTTGTTTTAAAGAAGTAGTTTTAAAATAGTATTTTTAGAGTATGATCAATTAAAGTCACATTTTCTCTTCGTATGAAAAGCGGTGACATTTTTAACTAAATGTAAAATGTTCTTCGATTAACAACCTAATGCCTTAAACAGAAATTTTGAACTTTAATCATTTCATAAGAACTGTATAAAAGTTCCTAAATTCACCTTTCTGTAATATAATTCTACTGATTTTAATTAGCTTTCTAAATATAATTTACTAAAATAATTTTAAGACTTTCTGTTAAGTGGCGTTGACCTTATTAGGTTATTTGTTATTTTTGTAACATTTTGATCTAGTGTAAAGAATATGGACAACCACCACTGTATTTGTGACAGACTTATTTCCTTGTTGGTGCTCAAATCCTGTTACTATGCTGTGGAGATGATGATTGTTTCATAACCATTTCAAGATGTTCAGCTGTATGTTTTAACTGTTACTAATTGTAAGCGTGCAGTGTATGTTAATTTAACCGGAACACAGTCTGCTTACTAAGCATCTCTTGTAAATATGCATTATATGTTTCTATTTCACAAAATGCATGACAGAAACCACATATAATCCTTAAGGATCTGTATAACGGAGCACTATTTAGCCTTGTGTATGTATCTTTTTTTTTTTTGCCTAGGCTACATTAAAATATCCTAATGAGTGCGTTAGTCTTAACTGACTATACAAGGTAATTGTAATTCCTGTAACACAGTGACCAAAAATACTTCTTTTTCCACCTTTTTTTCAAACATCCCTATATCCAGACTTGTTATGTTATTCATTAAAATTTATTGTTTTGTTTTCTATACATACATGCACATACACTAACAAATAGTATTGTAAGATAATTGCAATATCAAATTTACTTATTAATTATCACGTCCACTAAGTTTTTGTAAGTGACACAAAATAAATGGTTTCTTCAGGAGTGGGTAGTGGTGGTCCTTGAATTTTTGGACAAAACATATAATGTGTAAGAATTTACTGTACAGAACTAACTAGCAGAAAGTGTTATTAATTATGGCAACTGCAAAAGATTTGATCTTAATTGACAGAACAAATTGTCCCTAATACAACTGAACTTTAAAGGTTACACAGGATTTAGTGTGGCCAGAGCAATATCCATTCTTTTGCTGCTACACCGTGGTGGGCTCAAATGTTGTCTAATACTAATTAAAATTAACTTTTTCTTTGCTAATACTACTAACCTTTTCTTTGGTAATAAATACATATTGCATCCATATTAAGATTTTGTCAGTTCTGTTATTACCAATAAAAGATTATAGCTTCTGCTCAGGCAGTCCGCATGTAAGTTTTTGCCAGGTTTTGCCAGTTTAACCTGTTCATGAAGGATAAATGGCAAAATATCTTATAGTTAATATCTGCCAGATTCAATGTCGTTCTTGATTATCAATCTAAAAACATCGAAACCGAATAATTTAAAAAAGACCTATAATTTGATTTGTGAGTTTACAATTAACACTTTAATAATTCAATTTTTATGACGGTTGCTTTAGAGAAATGTTTGCCAAGAAGAATCTTGGGGTTATTATATACCTCACTATTAGGATCACATATTTTAAACTATTTACACAGTCATATAGTTCAACTAAAGCAGAGTTATACAGTTCTGAAAGGTCAATACATGCTAGCTTTGTCCTATTTCAAAACTTAGCTTATAAATGTCTATATAAAGTTGACAAAGATCAGGTCCTACATCACATTCAAATTTAATAAATATTCATTTTAACATGTATTCCAGGTTTGCTTTTGAAAAAAATTAAATGTTTTAGTTCATGAAAAGATATACCAGTCTTTCTGGAATTACAGTAGTATGATCTGAAAACAACTTTCTTTTTTTAGCTATTTTGAAATGAACTGGTATATTGAGCTGCCATCAAGTGGTCAGTCAGCGCGTTGCCATAGGCTTATTAAAACACACAGACATGAAAAGTTTTTTGCCTGCTGTTTGAATTAGTTATTTCCAATTTTTAATTACAATGAAATATGCAAGTAGATCCCCTTTATAAATTCCATTTTTAAACTGAAATATTTGCAACTTAATGACTAAATGATAAACATTTTAGCTAGTACATACTGTGCTGTATCTACTAGCTATTTGCCACTTAAACCCATTTTTTGTATTTTCATGATACTGTTGTCTTTTGCTCACCTCTGGCTGCCTTCACATGTTGTCCGCATCTGCGCACTTCTCCGTCTTCTGCTCCACAGGGCTACAAACCTATTCAGAGATACACTACTTTCAAATCCTGCGTGAGGAAGGAGCTCTATAGCAGATAAAGTCACGGTATGTGTTAGCTGCTCCGTCTGGGTGTGCTGGCATGTTTGCAGGAATGGCTGAACGTTCAACCGTCGCTGCTTTGTTTCCCATTGCAAAACTCAGGAGGAGATTATCTGATTGCAACCAAGGCAGCAGCTGAAAATGTCGTGTTGCATTTTTGACTGAAGAGGTAGAATTTTACTGTGGAGTTGGCACCAACTAACTCATGCTGTCGCTGTTTTGTAAGCCAGTTGCTATTTTGTGCTGTTCGGAACAAGGTGAAGTATTATTTCATAGTTTCTGTTGCTGTTTTCTGTCCGTCTGTTCTGTGACCACTTTTCAGTAATATCTCTGTTTCCTGTGACAAATAAATATTTAGCAATCAAGATCACAACGGCAGAATTTTCTCTCTAAGAGCCAGTTAGTAACTTGATTCTGCTATGATCTAAACAGTTATACTTTTACAAACCATAATGTGTTCTTGGGACCATTAACGCTACACCCGCATTTCTCAGTGGTAGGTACTGTGGCCACCATGGCCATTCCTGTGTAGCCACCACACGAATATTCATTTTTATAGTTAAATTGTACTGTGAAAACTGTAGTGTGAATGTTCTGTAGTCTATCAGGAAACTCTTGCCATGCTTTGACCGTAGCAGAAACATTTCAGTAAACATTCAGAACTTGAAACCTTTCTTACATAAAGCGAGAGTTTACTTCTCTGCCATTTTAAATTAAAATTAATTAAAGCAATTTGCTTTAGTGCTGGCACTTTTTTCCTGATCATTATTATAGGCTTTGCAGTAGTTACTCCGAAGATTGTTAACAGCTAATGTAGGCCCTTGTAGTGGGGAGAAACAAGCTGCCTGTCACACAAACCGGCCCTGCAGCAATTCTGGGCTGCTGTGGGGAGACCCGCTGCATTAGTCTCGCGTACTGCTGAGCAGTCAGGGTTTGGATACAGTTTCCTCCCTGTTTCAAGTTCTGGGGCTGTGTGCAATACTAAGCTCAGGTTTTGTGTCTAATAACTGTCTTGGGATGCCTCTGTACATCCTAAGACTGTGTCTGACTTTCTGAATCCTCCCATTCCTTGTAGACTCCCCTCTGCCCATTTGCAGGCCAGTGAGCGTCCTGGGGCTCTGCCCGCGGTGCCTCGCTAGCTCTGAAGCAGCACAGCAGGAAACCAGGAACCCAGAGCAGAATCCTGGGGGTCCTGATGTCCGAGGTGATGTCTGCTTCCAGCACAGTGGAAGCATCTGGGTCATTAGGGCCCGTTTCCTCAGAGCCCACCACTGCGCAGACTGGTAGCCCACCAGGTCACCAGCACTGCTGGTGGTTTTCTTTCGTAGGTCCCTGCAGAAGAGAGGGAAGAGAGAGGGAATTACCTCAACTACTCGCTCACTGCCTTGGCAGAGCACGTTCTTTATCCCAGTCCATGGGCTCTGGTGACTACTCATGTCTTTCTCTTTTTTTTTTTTTTTCTCCCAATGAAATGTCATGTCTTGACCAGGCTGGTTCTCCAAAATGCAGTTATAAAGAAATGCCTGGGGAATGTCCAGGATTATGCAGCTGGAGCATCAAATATTTTTCTTCATGGAGAGAGAAGTTCTGTTTGATCTGTGTACATTCTCGTGTGTTACATACAAAACACAGCATATAGGACTTTTTCTTTAGTATTTTGGTCAACTATTAGCTAAACATTAATCCAATTTTTTAAGTTATACTTTATAAGTATAAACCCAAATGGTGAAGCATTGTGTTAGTATGTGAGGAACAGAAATAAAACTTCTTAGTATGCAGTTTATTCCCCCAACTAACATGAAATGTAAGTAACTAATGAAATAATCATACAACATTTTAGTAATCCAACATGCCAGTTTCATAAGAGGAAATTCGTTGTTTAAGATTAGTTTCATGTAACTTCACCTCTTTGAGACTCAGGCTTTTGAATCTTCCTTGCTTTTCTCCCAGTATCTTTTTAAAAACGTTCCTTCAGGAGTTTCTCTTCTTTGTGCCCCCCGATTTGGCCACAGCCTAATTGCTGTTTCATGTCAAGTATTATATAAACTGTAAATCCCTCAAGACAGGGAGCAGCTCTCATAAGAATCTGGTAAATGTTGTACAGTCATGATGCTTTCCTAATATTTTCAACAGACAGAATGTGACCAAGGGGAACAAAGTACAGTGACACAGAAGAATCCAATATCTAATCATCAAGCCTATTAAAATTATCTTGGTAACAAGAAGAGAGACTGTGGTAAATAATCAAGTTTAATGGTCTAGACATCTTGACGGATATTTGAATTCAGGCCAAAAGTTAATTCATTTGTCTGTTGATATAGAGTAACCTGAAAAAAGCCACTATACAGTGGAGATTTATAAAGGGAGATTTTATTAGTTTTACATAAAGTCATTCTCAAGAAAATTCTTTGGATGTGAGTAACAGTCTTCACTACATAACTGTGGGACAGTACCGAGAAGGCAGATGAGTTCTCAGGGCACTAACCTGGTTACAAACAACCGCACCGGGGTACAGTTTGATGCTGGTTAATTTAACCTGTGCCTTTCCCCATACGGAGCTCCGGGATGCTCTGGGAAAACTGCTCTGGTACCTGAGCACTATCAGATACTGTTCCCTGTGCTCTGAGGAACACAGTGTAAACCTGAGGTGTATGAAATACCCTCCTTCCTCGAGCACCTTAGGCAGCTACTGCTCTTCACTTGAGCAGTTGCTGCATGTTTCTTGTAGTGAGTTACACTGGAATATCCTGCTGTTAGCTATTCTGAGCTGCTTCTTTTTTAATATACAGCTCCTATTTAAATCTCCTGTAAATATTTCTTAAAAATTGTTATAAATGTCATTTAATTGAAACTTTAGCCAAAACATATCTGAAGTGATCCGGAGTTAGTTACCGTGGAGGAGAACAGAATCTCTGTTTGCCATGTAGTGGGGAATGAAGATGAATTTACGTCATTCTAAAAATAATTATTTTGTAGTTTAGTTTTTAAATTGAAAAGAGCATAAAGGGTGAATGATTAGAGATTTGAAATTGAGCATTTATTTCCATTTATTAGTTAAATTTCAGTCTGATTTAAAAAGAAACACATAACGGTATATAAAATTTTAAAAAAACATCACAAATACATCGCAAAAGTAGATGCAAAATGATAGCACTTAATAGAAATGTAAAGATCATCATCTTTGATGTAATGTGTCTAGTAAACTCTTACGAAAGAGGTTAATATCTTAATCTCTTAATATTAATCTCTTATATTAATATCTTAATCTCTTATGAAAGAGATATTTTCATCTATTTAAAAGCCCTATTCAATAAATTATTAGTATGCTCAGTAACTGTAATATATTATAACTATAATATATATTAAGGCTCTGATTTTTGTTTCATTGACTTACAAAATATTGAAAGTCAGAGTTGTAAATCTAGTTATTAAGGTGTATATCCCACTGATTTATTGAAAAAAAATAATATTTTTCCATTAAAGGAACTGTCTTCTACATTCTCTGAATAATAGTTAATAGCTTAAAACAATGTTTGGTGAATGATTAAGGGAGGAAATTTCATTTCGAGAAAGACTTGAAAGACCCAAGATAAGCATGAACACAGAACTTCATTTCAAATCATGTTTCAACAGCAAATTGCTATCTACTATAAATACTTTATTCAGTCACATGAGATTGAAAGTTGTCATGTAGCTAATATTTTGAAGACTTTTAATTTCTGAACTTCCTAATATACAACAGTTGAATATATCCATCATAAGAGAGATTTAAAAAAACAGGTAGTTGAAAACTGCTGCAAACCCCTTCTCTGAGGCAGATAGAGCGAGTGGCCTGTGATAACCTGACCTTACTTGTCTTAACAAAAGCAACTGGAAATCACAAGACTCAGTCTTCTGATCCTGAGGCTGACTAGCAGCTGAAAAATGCACTGAAAGTGGGAGGAAAATCTTCTAGAAAAATGTGAAAACATCAGAGTATATGAGGACAAAATGTTCTATTAAATTTGGTACACTGAGTACATATAACAATAATACATGCATTAAAAAATAAACAGATGAATGCATTATGTATTCTGGCATTTCTTTAATACTCTGATTTCTATGAACATTATATGAATCTATTTCATAAAATAAAAACAAATGCATATTTCAAAGTACTGTTTAAGCAGCTGAATATGTTTTTGTCAAATAATGCAATGCATTTTGCAAGTAATGCTGTTTAGTGAGGTTGTCCATAAATCTCAACTAAATAATAAGTGTTGTTTTTAGTATTTAATTAAAAGCTGCATTATATAGTACTGTGGAATAGATAGTTTTCTGAATATTTACAACTTCTGCATAATGCAATGTGCTTTTTAATTATATAAAATGGATAAGAATAAATGGAATATAGACTTTACCCTAATGGTTGAATTTAATACAAGCTATAGGGAAATCTATTGAACCTCAAATACCCTTTTGTCTGACATGTCTCAGTATTTTTATTCTTTACTCAGTTTAATCAAAAATGAGAAGTCTTCTGAACATTGTACAATTTGCTTTGAGATACTGGATTTTACTTCTAAGTTGGATTACCATTTTAAACTACTTTTATCCCTTCTGATATATCTACAGTAATTGCATTTCCTGTTCTGTCCTTAGCCCCTTTCACCAGCTGCTGTAACATTTAGTCCATCTCCATCTTTAACGCATTTACCATCGAAATATGCTTGTGAAGTTAGGAAGAGTTTGAGGAAATAAGAAAATGTAGTGAGTCCACAGACAGTGACTCTCCTAGGCCAGCTCTTCACTGAATTCCTCCCTATTTAGTGGAACTTGTGAGCTTCGCTGAACTAAAATGCAATTTAGCACTGAGGTAACCTAGCATAAAAAAGCTTTTTTATCATCTGCGTATATTGTATTTGGCTTTAGTAATGCCGATAATCATAGAATCATAGAATCGTTAAGGTTGGAAGGGACCTTTAGAGATCATCTAGTCTAACCGCCTCAGTTTCATTGTATATCAAGAATTTCTTATGCTTTTTATTGTGTTAGAGGTGATTTTTTTTAATACAATGTGAACATTAAAAAGCAAGAAACAAAAAGTTACAGAGAGCAGTACATATCTGAATAAAGTGGATATACCTCCTTGGAGCTGTTAATGTAAATGGGCAATATCTAGAATTAAAACTCTGCTGTGAAGTGTGAGCAGAAAACTTACCTGCATACAAATTTATAATCCTGATCTTACAGAAGCAATGCTGAGCATGGAAGCATTTGATTTTTCATAATTTAATATTAAACCATCTAACCAGTTTATATGAATTGGAGTAAAATTTAATGTACCATTAAGGAGTTTAGTGCAAATCTTTTTTTCAATGGTATATTTGCTCACTTTCCACAGGAGACCCCAAAATATGGTTGGAACGATTATTATTCCTGTGTGATGACAGTAACGGGCGAACATCTCAGAGATCTATGGAAGCAGTTTCGGAGACGTGATATGCTGAGATAAAGACAGAGCGACCGTGGGCACTAGTTCTACTACTTTTCCGTCTATACACTGAGTGAAGAACAAGCTACGCCAAGTGCATTCTGAATCTTCCAGCTGCAGTAGATAACACAGGATTTTTTTTCTTCCGCTTAATACAGTGATCACAAACTTTTACAACCACTTCTCAGCATGTATTTTATTTAAGCAATGAAGTAACTATCATCCGATTGGCAGAAGTTTTTGTTGAGAACATGTTTTAAACAGTTTAGCATTTTAAAGAAAACAAAATGAAGTGTTGCACCTGGGTAGGCACATCTTTTGGCAATGAAGAGGAAATGCCTGTAGAGACTGAACCTGCTTTCTAAAGAGCACTATTAACAGTTCATGCTAGATTGGGAATGAGAGTAAATTATGTAGCATAACAATTATATACAGGTTGAATGTATAAAATAAGCTTTTAGAAGCTAACAAAGCTGTTATTTTTAAAAAGGGTAAACTTCTATTACAATTATAATGTGAATGCTGGGTATTTACCTAGGAAAGGTACTGTATGGACTAAAATGGTCAAATTCCGTAAGTCTTAGTGTTATGTTTGTTAACTTATCTTTTAAAAGTATTGATTTTAAGATGTTTTATGAGCAATATGTTGAAAAGGAAGTGTCAAAATATTCTAAATTGTGCTAGGTAACATAACACCATGAGATATTTATCATAAACTTTATTTCCATATGTATAAATCCAGTGATACATTTCCAGTAGGGTATGACTTCATGTGTTTCTTGTGAATAGGGCACTTATTTATATGAGGTAAGATATGGCACCTTGCTAACTTGCTACTCTGGAATGCAGCTTCTGGAAAATAGACAAGTAATATCCTTGTGCTTGTGTCAAAGAAAAAGCAAAGCAAAATATGAATGCATGTTCATGAGAGCAATGCGCACTAAATAATATTATTCGAATATTATGAATCAAATGTTAATCTTACTAAGGCAATGGACACTGCAGGCAATCAGTGGCCACCACGGTCTTTCGTGGCCTGGTTTCGATGTTGCTGAAACAACCCTAAAGGCACTCTGGTACATTGTTTTTTTTCATATTTTCTACTTTTTTTCTTTGCCATTGAGCAGCAGAAGTTTTTTTACTCCCTTTCAGGATGGATCATATAATATGAATTAAACCCAAACAAATGTGAGTACATAGTTTGGAAAAGGTTCACTGGACACTTAACCATCTTTCATCTAGTCAGAAACAATCTATGCACAGAAAGATGCACAGCTGACTACAGGCTAAAATTAATGTCAGTTTTCTTCAGAAAAGAAATATTTAGTATAGTCATACAGTTCAAATACAGATTTTGATATTTAAATTCAAAATAAGGGTTTTTAATGTTTTATTTTCACAGATAAACGTAAGAACTTTTGAAAACTATAGTTAATGCGTATATTGCTCAAACGCCATTTTTCATTATATATTAATAGAAAAAAAGATGCATAGCACCTGTGTAAGTAATCTTAGGTTTAGAAATGCTTAATTTATAATAAGATTTATCTGTTTAAAAAATAGATAAGAATGCTGTTCTTGAAAAAAATTTACACTGTGAATTTTTAGAGGAAAAAAATGTCATTTAGAGTATCTTTTTAGTTGTGGCTTTAATCTGAAAAAAAAAGCCAATTTAGAAGGCTTTTTGAAGGCTTAAATTAATATTTCATGAAAAATACTTATCCAGTTTCCAGCTTGGCCTCCTCGAACTACTGACAACGGGGCAAACTAGAAATCTGGGATAAAGGTTCTTGAACTGACACAGCAGTATGTGGGTAAGCTGCGATCTCTGTGATCCGTTAGGGAATCACTTGGTCTCCTGGACCCCAGAATGGTCCCCCTGCTCCTTGTCAGGGTTAGACAAACTTTGTTTTGCTGCTTCTGTCATGGAGGACAAAGAGTGGGAAGAGACATTAAGGAGCTGCCAGAGGGGCTTCCCGGGCTGCTCTTGGGTCTCCTGGCAATGATCTCTCCCCTCGGGGGAGGCAGAAGCCCCCTCACAGTTTCGCTGCTCCACTGCCCTCAGCAACAGTGCACTTTGCTTCGTGGCTGGCTTGACACAGTTGTTACATTTGTCTATACACTTCCTATAGTCACTTAATATAAAATGGAATGTGAAAGTGTCAGATTAGTTTTTAAGAATATTTTTCTCTTGTTTAATAATAATTTATGTGATATAGGACATGAAATTACAGATATCATATTCCTGTTTATTTCAAAATAAAAACATTTAAAACTAATTTGCTTTGGAATGCGAGTTATTCAAATTTCCCTCCTCAGAAAAAGATTTTATTTTTTGCAAAATATTGATACACAAGTGCTTTGAATGAGCATGTCACCATGACAAAAACAAAAACAAACAAAAAAATGTTTCTGCTGCTTTTGCTCTTCTCTTTAGATCGCTACACTGTCCTGCCACCAAATTCTGTACAAAAGAGCTGGGAAAATGAGGGCAGACAGGTGAAAACAGAGCGGGATAATGGGACATGCCATCTGCTACAGAGGCACCCCTCGGAGAAGCAGCAGTCCGGGTGTTGGATAAAAGCTTATTCAAAATCCTCCAGATTTTTGGCAGCAGGACCTGGGTAGCTGCCGCTAAGTCACGTGAAAGCACCAGGGAAGGCTTTGATGTTTTTGTAGATGTTTTTTGTAGAACCAGCTCTTTTATATAAAAAGTCATAATGTGGAAGGATGTTTAATGAATTCCTAAGACCTACCTGTAGATGCCCAGAGCAGCCAAACCAGTAAAGCTACAACTTTGGGTAGCTTTGTGATGCTGACTGACTTTTGTGTGAGCTCCGATGACTTCCTAGTTCCCAGCACAGTATCATTTATTGTAGGCTGCCTCCTGCTCATCTTAAAATGTGTAAAATCACACTGGCAGTTTCTTTCCTTGTGCACTTATTCATCACCCCTAAGTCATTCGGCTCCCAGGCGGATTCTCTGAGGAATACCCATTGGGCATTGTTCTTGTGTGCTTATTTATCATTATATGGATAGTGACAGTACTTCTTAGTTTCCAAAGTCTGATGCCTATTGATTTATTCGTAAAGAAAGAAAAATACCAAGTTGTAAAATACAACTTTGCTCATCATTCTCTGTGTTCTGCATAATTCCAGAATTTTTGATCCCCTCCATTATTATTTCTAAACTATACCCCTGAAAATCATCAGAAAGTTTATTAAACAAATCATACATTTATCAAGTTTTAAAAGTTCCAGCCTTCAGGAAATCCATGACATATTAAATTGATCTAGTATTGCAAAGCCTTACTTTTCACACTGATATAATTTTATAGCTGAAATATAATCAGTTGGATCCCCACATTATATTTCCAGCTTCTCATCATAACTCATGAATGAAGTGTAAATGTGAATATTGTATAGCCAGCCTTGGATTCAGGGAATAAATTACTGCTAAAGTAATTTCCAATCTAAAAATGCTCTTCTGCTGAAGTAATGCAGTCTTAAATCACATACACATTAAGGAGAACAGTATTATTTTAATTCCATTGTTATTTGGTTATTAGCTGGTTTTGATGGTTCATTTTGCTTTTTTATTCTTTTTTAATTTTTATGACCTTTCAAGCTGGTACAAAACTATGCTCTGAACAGAGAATTTATGTGAAATTATCTACAACAGATCATTTTTGCCTGCTATATATCGAACATTCTCCCACATGGAGAATTCTTCCTATTTTCCTATTATTTTACTGTTTATCACATCTTAAACACATTCAAGATATCTGTGTAACTTCACTGAACGTGTATAAAGCTTCTGCTACTGTTTGTTCCATAGGGATGACTCATTAAAATCAGAATACCTGGTACAGTTTCTTACTTCTTAAATGCACCAAATGTGCTTTACAGTTATCCCCACGCAATGAGCACTGCGGAAACGTGGTGTGATTTGACCATGACGTTTCAAAGGAACTGTTAATGTCGTTAGCAGCTAGAACAGCAATGTGATTCCTTATCTGAAGGTGGCACTTCCAACAAGGCAGAGTCCCCTAAACTCTTTCTTTCCGTGCACTAAGTGCTTGGCCGCCCTCTCAAACCCCAGCTACCCCAGGGAAGTGGGGAAGTGTAAAAGAAAGGGAATCTCATGACCCACCTGAGGAGCAACCGATGGAGTCGGGAAGGAGCTGGAGGAGAGCGTGAGCACCACGAGAGCTGCGAGTGCAAGGGCAAGAACGAGGCAGGGTCTGCGGGCGTTTAATCCTCTCCAGCCAAAGGACACTCCAGAGGACTAAGTCAAGGCAGAGCTTTTTATGCCAGCTCAATTTTGTGCTGGCTGCATTGAAGTGAGGCTTGCCTGCTTATTTCACTAGCCAGGCTAATTAGGAGCAGCATGACCATGATTTCAGAGCTCTGGTGCAGAGGAGGCTTTAATACGCAGTGACGGGGACAGCACTGGTCATGGAAACGCTGCAGAAGCCCAGCTCCCTGCAGGGGAAATAGCAACTGACCAAGAAATGTATGGTAGAATTTGAAGTCTTCGTAATCCTCCTCCCTGCTACCTGTATGTACATACATTGCACATGGTATTTACAAAAATAATGGCAACATTGAGTAGTTTTTCGCAGCAACCAAGTACCTTGCAAAAATGAACGCAGAGTTTCTAGCTGCTATCTGAAAGAGGTCGCTGTGAGGTATCCAAAGCGCAGAAAGTCGTCAATGGATGGAAGTGCCTCTATTTCTGAATTCTGTCAGTAAAGCACAGGGTATGCCCTCAAGCAGAAGTAAATTTTATTCCTTATACTCTTCAAATCTGTTCTGAATAACTGTGGATGTTCTCATTAGCCACACTAGAGTCAAATCCTTTAAATATTCCGGTAAGATTCTGGCCCTCAGTGATGATTTGCACAGATCAATCGCAGTTGAAACAATGTGTCCACATCTTGAAATGTTTTCTTTGGAGCCTTTCCTCATATTTTGTTGTCTATGTTTTCAAACGACGTCTTTGGTGCCATGGTGCCTCATGTTTTATGCACTATAGGTATAGGTATATCAAATTTATTTTTTCGGTACCATTCACCA